AAAAGAGAGCCATTAACAGTCCATCTCCGAATGAATCTGTAAATATCGTATATCGCCCCATTCTGTCATGAGTTTACCATCCCTCCTAGCACTGTGAGAGGACTATATTGCCAGTTCCTTCTGAAGCAACCACAACTTCTTTGCAATGACACCAACAGCGCTGTGTTTATTCTCCTGGAATAAGCACCAAACAGTGAACATTTCCAACAGATGTCCAAGACACAAAGACTGGCAGGAATGTCTTCCACCCCACCCCAGAGGGTATTAAACTGCCACACAACATCACAAACAATGACTTATTTCAAAGTCTGCACTGTGTGTTTCACACTAAAATACCTAAATACCACAAATTTCAGTTTTGTCTCCCTCCTTCAGTTTTCATCCTCCTGCACTTCCATTCCAAAGTTAATGGCGCGGAACCATCTTTGAGGCAGCGCCAAGGGTAGAAGAAGGCAACAGTGAGGTTCACTTCCTTTGCTGACATTTACGTTGACGTGTGCATATAACCCAACTGCTTATGTCAGCCTTTGTTCACAGTGGCTCCATGTGCGTGTATTCAGGTAAGTGACAGTAACACCTGGCCTAAAGCCCTCGTCTGCCACTAATTGATTACATTATAAGCTTCAGTTACTCTTCCACTGTCTGGCTTCTGTTTCAAACAGTCAATCTACACACCTGTGGGTAAAACGTCTACCTAAATTACATTTTACCTGAGTTATGTACATTGTGTACTTAAAGGTTTTATACGTTTTCATAAATAATTTCTAATCGCTGTCTGTAATCTGTCTTAAGCTATGCAAGTGTGCGGCAGAAATTCCCTGATTTATCCAAGATGACAGTACTGTGAATCTGATCCCTACTTCCTCATGCCATACATAATGTTCAGCCACATATTTCTAAAACAGGCAAAGTTTAAACTGTTAGCAGATCCATTCCATTCACAAAAGAGCTTGTTTTGTTGTATTTTCTAATACTGCTACCACTCTTCTGAGTGTGTTTAGTTTTACGTTTTAGCAATATTCTAGCAATATCACAGCGTGGACACCAGAAATGGGCTTCAAACATTGTACCCATGTGGAGAATTGAACCTGGGTCTTTGACGTGACAAGCGAACACTTTAACCACTAGGCTACCCACCGCCCCCTAAACAACCCTGGGGTCCAATCCACAAAGCGTTCATAGTTCTACGTCATTCGTAAGCCTATGACAAACCATACAGTTACGATAGCTCTTAACGTTTTGTGATCGAGATCCAGGGTCCCGTTTCTCAAAGCTCTCGTAGGCCTAAGATCTCCTAACTTTTCTCGTAGCATTGGTACCTGCTATACTGTAACATAGGAGGTACAAATGCTACGAGAAAAGTTACGAGATCTTAGGCCTACGAGAGCTTTGTGAAACGGGGCCCAGAGCTTTAAAAACAATCCATAATAACTCACTAAAATGAAAACATTGCATCTGATGAAGTAACAGCCACACCCTCCTGTAGCTCACCTTCATTTATAGTTCAGGTATTTGAAACATTATTGGTCAACCTTGGAATCACATTTTTGTCACTCATTAGCCCAAAATACAACCACCCTGTGCAATGGTGAACATAAACTTGGCATAGATCAACATTTAAAGTTGTGGCTGTAATTGTGTAAATACGTCTAAGGAGACTGCTTTAAGTGATCAACTATCTAACCGCGGGTAAAATCTCATGTTTAAAACACTCAGGAGTATTCCACCTATACGGCAGCAGTCTGTTAATAATTGAGTCTGGCCCAGACAATCTAGTGATCAACAGGGATATGATGACAAGTGTCAACCAAGTCACCAAGCCTGACCACCCAATCCCATTAGTCGCCTTAGGACAAGCAAGGGTTGCTGAAGACCACTTCTCACTCGGATATTAACCGGTGTCTCAATCAAGAAGTTGTGATAGAGTTGGGTGTAACGACACATGTTATTTATGACTGGTCTGCTATCTTTATTGTCATGTCATTGGAAGAGATGGAAATATGTTCATATTCACTGCTACATTAACATTATTTAATTGAATGCTTTGCTGGAATATTTAACAAAATGGCATGACATGTTAACTATAAAATCAGGTGTTTTTTAAAACTTTTTTTAAGTAATATGTAAGTCATGCACATAGGTAAGCTATTATATCTTTATGGTTGACTGAGTTGGTAAGTTCGGTTGAATGACGTACACTACAGTTACTAGTATGTCACAGTATGCAACCAAGTATCCCTGAGAGAAAAGTCTACAATATGGCTGACAGTCACATAGGCAACAGTCTTTTGACACCTTGACATTCGACTGTTTCATTGTGCCAGGATGAACATGTCAGTGACAATGTTGCCAAATTTGAACAACTTATCATGATCTGCTGATTAATTACATGATACATAAAGTACACATTGGAAAACCACTTTGCGTTTCTTTTTTTTTTGCAGAGCATAACTTATTCTCTTCATTCATTTCTTAAAAAATATCTTCAAGGATTCAAAAGAAAACATCTAGTGAATAATTTACTTTTTTTGTTTTGTTTGAGTGTTTGTTCTTAAACAGCGCAGTCACCAGTTTATGGTGCATGTGTATAAATATTCTCATTTCAACCAGACAAACCAGTATGCTCTATAGATGAGACTGATTAAAACATCATTTCAACTGTGTCCTTAAACTTGTTCAGTCTTATCTTCATGCTGACATTTAGTTTCCTGAAATATATATATATCAAGATAACGGATTCTCAATCTTGTTCTTTAATGTAGAGATTGTTTGTTAAGATATAAGTATTTATATAAATGGGGAAATAACAAAGGCAGAAGTTAACAGTATAATCTCAAAATAATACAATTTAATTCAGGCAACCATATTCAAATGCATGATCAAAGGGGAACAACTCTTTCTATATCAAAGAACTGCAAGTGAGGGGTGTCCAGAGAGGTAGAAGAGGCTGGTAGACACTGTCAGGGGCTGTAGACAAGGGTAGAAGAGGCCGATAGACACAGTCAGGGGTTGTAGATAAGGCCGATAGACACAGTCAGGGGCTGTAGACAAGGGTAGAAGAGGCTGATTGACGGTCAGGGGCTGTAGACAAGGGTAGAAACGGCTGATAGACACAGTCAGGGGCTGTAGACAAGGGTAGAAATGGCTGATAGACACAGTCAGGGGCTGTAGACAAGGGTATAAGAAGATGATAGACACAGTCAGGGGCTGTAGACAAGGGTAGAAGAGGCCAATAGACACAGTCAGGGGCTGTAGACAAGGGTAGAAGAGGCTGGTAGACACTGTCAGGGGCTGTAGACAAGGGTAGAAGAGGCTGATAGACAGTCAGGGGCTGTAGACAAGGGTAGAAGAGGCCAATAGACACAGTCAGGGGCTGTAGACAAGGGGAGAAGAGGCTGGTAGACACAGTCAGGGGCTGTAGACATTGGTAGAAGAGGCTGATAGACAGCCAGGGGCTGTAGACAACGGTAGAAGAGGCCAATAGACACAGTCAGTGGCTGTAGACAAGGGGAGAAGAGGCTGGTAGACACAGTCAGGGGCTGTAGACATTGGTAGAAGAGGCTGATAGACAGTCAGGGGCTGTAGACAAGGGTAGAAGAGGCTGGTAGACACAGTCAGGGGCTGTAGACAAGGGTAGAAACGGATGATAGACACAGTCAGGGGTAGAAGAGGATGACTGACTGGTCAGGGGCTGTAGAGAAGACACAGACTGTAACACAGGCATCTAGCCATCTAAAACAATGATTTCTTATTTAAAATAACATGGTCACAAAGATTTTTTACTTTTAATTATTTTGTGAAAAACTTACTGTCCCTTCATTTATTATCTCAATTAAATCTCAATTTATCTTTGGAAAGATCCTAGAATATTAACACTGTTATTTATTTTCTTTATTCCAAGGTATAAAGAGCATGCCAAGATAATATTCTAAGGAACTAAGAATAAGCACTCTGCTTGAACAGGATGGAAGTATATTTTCATACAGATAGATGGGCACAGGTAGTTGAAGCTTACATAAAATCATTGCCTGAACATTGTATCTGTGAACTAAAAGGCCAACAGAAAGTGGCCTATCACCAGCATATTTCCCATTTCTCCCTCAACTGAGACTGACTGACTGACTGAGTTTGGTTTTACGCCGCTTTTAGCAATATTCCAGCAATATCACGGCAGGGGACACCAGAAACGGTCCACTGAGAACTTATAAGAAGAAGACCATAGTTTCCCAAGCCTCACAGTTGGTCATTGACTCTACCTATGCAGATAAGTCCAATGGTAGAACAGCACAATTAACCTAACTATTTATTAGCCATGTTTAAGGGACTAAAACCAACCAAACTCTCCCTTTCTGCTTGTTGTTTAATGCTGCTACATGACAGTGGCTTTGTAAAACAAACCAATCTGGACCAGACAAACCAGTGATTGATATTGCAAGCAGTGATCCATGGCGTCTGGGTTCATGACACACTGCTAAGTCATCCAAGAAGTCAAGCCTTACAACTGGCTCTGAATGCTGGGTCCTGTGAGTGAGTGAGTGAGTGAGTGAGTGAGTTTAGTTTTACGCCACACTCGGGAATATTCCAGCCATATGGCAACGGTCTGTATATAATCAAGTCTGGACCAGACAATCCAGTGATCAACAGCATGAGCATCGATCTATGCAACTTGGAACAGATGACATGTGTCAACCAAGTCAGTGAGTCTGACCACCCGATCCTGTTACTCGCCTCTTACGACAAGCATGGGTTACTGAAGATTCATTCTAACCCGGACCTACACATAGATGTGAAGAACATGTGCATTTACTGACAAGTAGGTGCCATGCATACCTGCGATGATCGTGCTATTTGTACACAGGTCTCATACATTACATACCACTGACAGTACTTCCCAGAACTATTCCAAGGCATAGAACTTCTCAGTCTTGAAACACTCTTGACAAAATCACTCATTAACATTTCTTGGGGTTTCCAGCAACCAATGACCAAATATAACTTACAAGTCACTGGCCGCTGTGATGATGTGTTTGCTGCCATCTAGGCGGAGAGAGTTGATGGCGCCGCGATGGAGAGCCAGGACACTGATGCAGTAGAAGTCTCTCCGATTCCAGACACGCACAGTGCCGTCATGGGAACCAGACAATCTGCAAATGTAGTGTTAAACAGTGTCAGTTGGGTTAGCGTTGGGAATTGAAGGTACAAATGTATATCACTTAAATACATACATGTTAGATGAAGGCTAAAAATATTATCATTTTGTGGAGGAACATGAGGGAAAAATAAAAAATACATTTCAAGAGAATCAAGTGTTTCACATGGAGAGTACAGAATCAGAGACTGTACTGAGGGCTAAGTTTGTTTGTCTATTTTTTGTTTAATACAGCACTCAGCAATGGCCCAGTCATATTAGTGTGCGATCTGTAAATGATTGTGTCTGGACCAGACAATCCAGTGATTTCCATCATGAGCATAGATACATGCAATTGGGATACGATGGCATGAATCAACCATGTCACCAAGACTGACCACCGATCCCAGTAGCGGCTTTCTGTGAGAAGCATGGGTTGCTGAAGATCTATACTAACCTGGATCTTCATGTGTAACTGAGGGCTAAGAGGGTGAGTGAGTGAATGTTGTTTAACACTGTGTTTCAGCATTACTCCATACAGCCTTATTACAGAGGTCTGTGACAGGACTAGCCAAAGCAAGCCACTGAATTAAGCACTGGTATAGGTCCATGTAAACAATTTAAGAAGACCTGCATTCAGTCAAATAACAGCCAGCCCATGCCCATCATTTGGGTTTCTGACAATCATGATATACTGGGGACAAATATTGACACAAACTCCCCACCTCTATATATATTAAATTTGTCTCACATGTAATCGTGGTTGAACTGTAGACAGGACACACATCCCTTGTGGCCGGGGAGAGATGCACGGTGTGTAAACAGTCGCATGTCCCACACCTGTTGTCAGGAAAATAGCATCATACAGAAATAATACAATTTTTTAAAGGCATTTAGAAGTGATACACACAAAGGGGAGAATTTTATGGATGTGAACTTCCGTGAAACAGGTTGTCAGGAAAATATTATCATACAGAAGCAATCAAATCTTTGAATTAGAACTGATACACATAAAGGGGAATGTTATTGATGCGAACTTCTGTGATACAGAAGTTACGTTCCACACAGGTTGTCAGGAAAATAGCATCATACAGAAGCAATAAAATCTTTGAATTAGAACTGATACACATAAAGGGGAATGTTATGGACGTCAACCTCTGTAATAGAGAAGTTACATCTCACACAGGTTGTCAGGAAAGTAGTATCAGACAGAAGTAATGTCCCAGACCTGTTGCCAGGAAATATTTTCAAGCAGAAGTAGTAATCCAAAGCTATTGTCACGAACATAGTCCTGGCATCATACACAAGTTATGTCATCCACCTGTTGTCAGGATAATAGTATCAAACAGATGTAGTGCCTCACACCTAATGTGATGAACATAGTATTGTACACAAGTAACGCCATCTATCTGCTATCTGTATATACAGAAGTTATGTCAAACACCTGTTATCTGGAAAATAGTATCATAGAAATGTATGCTGTGTTGGAAACCTTGGATCATTACTAGAATCTGCAGAATCCTGGCACAACTAAGGGACACAACTGTAATGCAAATAATTTATATCATCTGACACTCACCATGATAACCATGTCCCACGAGCCAGTGACTAGAATATCATCATCAAATTGGAGACAGCGGACACCTCCCTATAACCATGACAACAACCATGAATGATCTTCATGATAAACATATCGGCTTTCTTAACTGTGTCCAAATACCCAGTCGAGCTGATTCACAGAAAATACTATTTTCTGTGTATATGATTTATGTAAGGACTTCTTGTAGATTTGACTACTTTTTTTAAAAAGTAATAGTTGATGCTTTCTATTGTATTGTACAATTTATCTCAGACCTTCCTATGTTTAGGCTTAGACATGTATTCGGGGAAAAAATGAAAATTATTTTCAAACACAAAAATGTTATATCATTAAATTGCAATGTATGCTGTGCTAGTAATATTAGCCCTTCTTGTTGCTTAATATATTTTAACACATTTATTTGCACAATTTTCAGCAGCATAAATAACACTATTTTCAGATTTGTTCCCTCAACTTATATTATTTTTAGTGTTGTAGGAATGCTTTCAATATTTTTTCTAAACTCTCACCTTAGGCCCATAGAACTTGTGCAAACTGCGCCCACTACGGATGTCCCAGACACGGATACTTCGATCAAGACCACCGGTCACTAGGCGGCGGTTGTCAAACTGGAGGCAGAGGATGCCACTCATATGACCCTGCAATACAAGGTGTTAACATCAGTGCTCAAGTTAAAAATGCATTTGTCTTAATATGTAAGTGAGTGAGTGAGTATGGTTTTACGCCGCTTTTAGCAATATTCCAGCAATATCATTGTGGGGACACCAGAAAAGGGCTTCACACATTGTACCCATGTGGGGAATCGAACCCGGGCCTTCAGCATGATGAGAGCAAATGCTTTAACCACTAGGCTACCCCACCGCCTCCTTAAAATGTAAGGAATTACTTAGTAGTTGGTAATAATGGAAGATATACTAGAACTTTTATTTCAGTTTTGAAATATACAGCAAGCATCAAACTACAAGTCCACTTGAAAGGTTCTTGACTCAATATGCAAAATTGCTTGAAGCACTATGTATTTTAAAATACTCCAGTCAATGAATCAGTGTGCACAGTTTTTCATTCTCAGCTCCATGTGAAGTATACAAACCAAGGTACTTGTGAGGTGCTAGAAGGTTAGCAGTCACATTACTATGTCATTCTACCTATTGTGCATTCACTGCTGGATGAACAGAGGCATATTATGAATGAAGAAGACACAGCATGAGTTAAAAATCACATTTCATTCTGATATTAGGACTACTTTCCTCGGCTATGAGTTAGATTTTGTAATTAGTGTCAATCAGTCAATTAGTTATCATTTTCAGCCTGAAACATAATATAGTTTCAGTTCCAGAGTTATAAAATGATGTAGCACAATGTCCGTTACTTCTCACCTGCAGTTTTCGAACCTTCTTGACGCTAGTGACAGTACCGGCAAACTTTCGAGCACGAGTGTTAGTGACTGGTTCAGTGTTTGGAGACGATGCGTGCCACTCTAGACTCACAGCAGGCACCACCTTGCCCTGAAATACATCAATGTTATCATCTACAGCATCTTCATCATTGACAGACATCTTGATCCGTGAAGATATGGGTTTAGAATGGGCCTTAAGTGAGTGAGTGAGTTAAGTTTTACTCTGCTTTTAGCAATATTCCAGCAATATTACAATGGGGGACACCAGAAATGGGCTTCACAGTTTGTTCCAATGTGGTGAATCAAACCCGGTGTAGCAGGCCATTTCTTCCCCGGTCTAAACTTTCCCCGGTGAGAATCTGGCCTAGGCCAAACTTTCCCCGGGGAGGTTTTGTCCTAGGATATTCTTACCCCGGGGAAAATTTGGGCTAGGCTAAAGTTTTCCCGGGGAAGGTTTGGCCAGGGGAAAGTTTGGCCTGTTACACCTGGTTTTCTGCGTGACGAGAAAACGCTTTAACCACTAGGCTACCACAAACTCCTGCTTGTCACATGAGGTGACTAGTCATGATGGATGATCCGACTTGCTAACTTGGTGGAAGTGAGTCATCGTATCCCATGAATATAGATTGAAGCTCATGATGTCTATCCCTGGATTGTCAGGTGAAGACTTGATTAATTAAAGACAGCTTTGATATCACTGCAGCATTACTGCATGCAGCAACAAATGATTGAACAGCCATTCCAGACTGAAATATTTCCCATATTCAAAAGAGACATAGTCACCTTCATCTAGGCTAATCAGGCTTCAACAACAGTTGTTGTATTATGGTGATATATCCAGAACTATGTTCAACTGTTGAATGTGTGTCATCTTTATCGTGAACTGAATTTCAGCCATTGAACCATTAACATATGCAGTCCATGAATAGCTTGATAAACTTTTACATCTCTAATGGCTAATAAAACAAGAAGACAAAGTCATCAATATCCCCTGCAACGGCAAAATACTCTTTATGAATATGTCTACTAGTTATGATTATGTCAAATGTTTTGGAGTGTATATAGCAAAGTGGAAGGAGAGTATTGAAAGGTTTTAAGATCTGCTCCAGAAAGGTGCACTACCACCAAATTCAGTTGAAGCCTAACTTGTTGCCATGGAAATGTAACAAGATGACATCCTCATAGTCACAGCCTAAGTTATGTTTCCCCAGAAACCACAAAAAATAAATTTGTATCTGGGTCTAACCATCAAATGGCACATCTATGGATCATGCTTGATATGTGTACCAAGTTTGATGAAGCTAGCATGTATAGTTTGGAAGAACTGCTCCCAACAAGATGACATCCTCATAGTCACAGCCTAAGTCACATTTCCATGGAAACAACACAAAATAAAATTCATATCTGGGTCTAAACCCCAAATGGCACATCTATGGATCATGATTGACATATGTACCAAGTTTGATGAAGCTAGCATGTATAGTTTAGGAGATCTGCTATGGACAAGATGACATCCTCATAGCCACAGCCTAAGTCACGTTTCCATGGAAACCACGAAAAAATAAAATTCATATCTGGGTCTAACCCCCAAAAGGCACATCTAGGGATCATGGTTGATATGTGTACCAAGTTTGATGAAGCTAGCATGTATGGTTTAGGAAATCTGCTCCGGACAAAGTGTGACGGATGCACTGATGGACGGAACTCGTTTCTATATTCCCCGCAACTTCGTTATTGCAGGGGATAATAAAAAGAGGTTCAGCGGATAGGTCCAGGAAGGAAATAATCTTCTGAGATGTACCCAGTGATGCCTATACTTTAGAAATATACAGTGTACCGGCAAAACCCCTAATGTTTAAGCGAATGTTTAATTGTATAATAAACAAGTTGTCTATTTTGCATATGAGATATCAACATTATCCACAACTTCCTTCAGGATGCTATAGAAGTTTACATTTGACAGCATACAGAGACAAAGCAAGTATATAACAGACAGCCTTGTCTGTACCTTTCCTCCCAGTACAGCTAACAATTCTGCCATTGTGGTTCTTACAACAAAGGGGAACAACTCGCTACTAATGAACATCTCTCTATTGAGTTGTTCCCCTTTGTTCTCTCTATACGTCGCACTAAAACTATAAAACCAACCAACCAACATGTCTCTATCAGTAAAATGTATAAAATGTCCAAAAATGAATACATGCTTTATATGTTACAAGCAACATGAGTAACTAGATACAACTAGATTTGTACTATAGACATTAAGGCCAACACGACTAAAATAAAACCTATTTATCATACTCACTACTCAAAAACAGCATTGTTTAGTTTTTTATGTCAAGTTGCTGGTACATTTTTTAATATCCAGCAATTATATCTAGCTAAAGGAATGTAACACCATGAAATAAAGCATGCTTTATTCTCTTCGGTTCTTAGCAATTTATCATGATGGTGTAGTTACCAGTAAATCAACGCTGGACTGAAGCGCTGGTCGTACATCCAGAGAGGCCCCCTCCTCATCTTCATCATCGTCGCCCTCCTTCTTCCTCCGTACCACTGCACTGGTTTGCTTGTCTTGACTGTAGGGAGGAGGTGTCAAGTTAAAGTATCTCTGCTCTGAATTGTCTCTCCTGATCTCTCATGGAGGTATGTACATATGAGTGTCCAAATACAACTATCTAAGACAAATATGCCCTGAATTCTTATGGTTCCAATCAAGACTGAATGTGAGTGAAATGGATTAATACTGATTTGAACACTCTTTCAGTTTTGTCTCACTACACTGACTTAGAATTGGAGGTTATATTATATCAAATCAGAATTCCTTAGTTTAACAAGCAGTTCCTGCAGATTGAATCATCTGGCAGCTGTGATTGGATGATTTTGTGCAAAATTATTGTGGGTTTTTAAAATGTCCATCCATCCAGTAATTAAAACTGTCCATATTTTTAAATACTTAGAGCTGTCTTTTTTAACATGATGACTTACATTGAATGTGACCACAGAATATTTTAAAGTGTGTAACATTTTGTGCAGAACTGGGTTTGATCTGTTTATCTTCCTGTACATAGAAAAGGAGCTGGTTCAGGTTGTCATTTGTCTGTTTTTATTGTTGCTTTAAGGGCAGACTATGCACAAATGTACATTTAACTGTTGAGGGCTTAGTTAATTCAAAAAAAGATATGACGTTACAATAGAAGTGAATGGGAAAATATTTCGTTTAGCGTACCCTGGTTGGTGAAAAGAAAGGGTGAAATGGATCAGCAGTGAATGTATTTGAAGTCAGCAATATTACAGCGAGAGTGAGATGGTATGTAAGTAGCTGACTGACTGACTGACTGACTGAGTTTGGCAATATTCCAGCAACATCATGGCGGGGGACACCAGAAATGGGCTTCACACATTGTACCCATGTGGGGATTCAAACCCGGGTCTTCGGCGTGATGAGCCAACGCTTTAACCACTAGGCTACCCCACCGCCCCTGTAAGTAGCTGAAATAGGAACAGACAAACATCTGACAAGTGCAATAGGGGGAGAATTACCCCAACCTGTATTGGTGCTTTGAAACACTTTCAATCAATGTAATGATATAAGACACTGCTGAAAACTTACTCTTCGTCTTCTTCTTGTATGGAGTCTTTCACATCTTTGTCAGTGTCCTTCACCTTCCTTGTGCGGGAAGACTTGCGATATCGGGGCTGGTATGAATACTTGACTGGAAAAGAGGAACACTACAATGTAATTTTGTCAACCATAATGTCATCGTTAAGCAATTTTATACTACATATGAACACTTGAAAACATCATTACACATTCTTGCAAATTCAGAAGAGAGTTTTGGGGCAGTGGGGTAGCCTAGTGGTTAAAGCGTTCGCTCTTCACGCCTAAGATCCAGGTTTGATTCCCCACATGGGTACAATGTGTGAAGCCTATTTCTGGTGGCCCAACCGTGATATTGTTGGAATATTGCTAAAGGCGGCATCAAAAGAGAGTGTGAGTGAGCTGAAATATAAGTATCCTGGCATGTAAGCTTATTAGGGGAGATCTTGAAGTGACAGTTTTATCATCGTGGTGAAATCCATGAGAATGCATATGGGGCTGAGAATCAAAATTGGGCAAACCCATGTGTGTAGGACTCTGGTAGGTGTAAGGGATGCAACTCTGTATAAGTCAGAATCATCAGTGTTTGTGTGAGTGAGCAAGTGTTGAAAGATTCCATGATTCCAACAAGTGACTACACCGTATAAACTCTAGATACGGGCCCCAGTGAAATACCTAAGGGACACCTCAGTTACCATGGCAACCTAGAAAACCCACTGAATCTCACTGTGTTGTGTATGTACCTTGCGGTTCTGGTTCGGTTTGAAGGGCATATTCAGCCATAAAGGGAGATAAATCTTCATCAAAGGAACCGTCAGAACTGTCCTCTTCCTCCTCTGATAAAAGATACCTCAGAGTCGTCTGCCCTTGGTGGGATCGTATTGGTTCTCCCACACCCAGCTTGACTTTGGCTTTAAAATACAACAGGTTAGTGACAATATAGAATACATACTGGTGACAAACATACTACTTACTTTGAGATTTAGTAGGTGGAATACACCATGTATTGCTCCAAATACGTGCATCAGCCTTCCAGAAATTGATTTTCAACAATAATCACTCACTCACTCATGAGGCATGTGAACACACACTTACGGAGACGCAGACTCTTCTTGAAACCTTTCTTTTCTTCCTCTGAAAGAAACAACAAAACAATAAGTACTGAATTTCATCTTAACAACTGTAATCTGACGTTTGATAAAACAATATCTCCTGACATCAACCAAATCAAAGACAAAATATGTATGATTATTTAATACAAACAGGAACTAATATTGACCAGCACCTTTATTGGTGAATGAGATAAAGGTTATTCCTAAAATAATGCATTTGAAAAATCCAATCTTTCAAGCAGAAGATGTTTCTTAAAATTGACATACATCCAATTTTGCTTACTATAAATTTGACTCTAGCCACAAGTCTCTGTGTGTGTGAGTTTGGTTTTACGCCGCTTTTAGCAATATTCCAGCAATATCACTGAGGGGAACACCAGAAATGGGCTTCACACATTGTATCCATGTGGGTAATCGAACCCATGTTCTCGGCATGATGAGCGAACGCTTTAACCACTAGGCTACCCCACCACCCCAACAAGTCTGTTGTCAGAAGACTCAGATGTATTGGCACATACCCTTTATGTATGACAGCCTACTAATGTAATTTAGTCTCAAATCTGTTGAAGTAGGGACAAGCAAACAATACTCTAAAAGTTCTCAAATTCTACCATTGGGCAGCAGACAATGCTCAATTCTGATTGGTTAATCATAGGTCTTTGCTTTGAGTTGCAAATTTTATTCAATGCACTCAAATCAACTAACATTACAATATGTTCAAATCACAACCTCTGACCTGCAACCAACTTACCTTTCTGCCGATCTCCATCTTCATCACCAGCTGCAGGAAGACAGAACCATGGATACATAAACCTGGCTGATATAACTATTCATCTCACTTCAAGACAAACACTGAATATTAATAATATGATTATGGCCATATTACATTATTGTATTGCTTTTAATGTTATGCTAACACACTAGACTGGGATGGTGAAAATTAAAAAGAAATCATGTGACTCAGTATTTCATAATTTGGCAAGAAATTGATTCATAATGTGTTCATGTCATATCAACAATGTTTAAAAGCACTGCCTGCCCTTTATCCTGTGGTAAGTAACATTTCTGTTGGGATAGGTGAAATTTATTCCACCTGCTCAACTGTCAATAGAAAAAATCCTCATTGCAACACTGACTCTGACAATCTTAAATTCACTGTGGTGAGGTGAGGTGAAATTGGGTTTAACGTCGTACTTGAAAATATTTTGCTCATATGACGACGTGCATGCGTGTTGTATGTGCAGCTGCTTGTACTAGCCCAGACTGAAGCTGGTTTATGAGTGCTAGCCCACTGAGATACCATGCCACAGTTAAGCATGAATACCCCACTCAGACACATTATACTGACTCCGAGCCGACCAGTCCTTGTTGTACCCATTAATGCCGAGCGCCAGTCAGGACCAACAAGTACCATATTTTAACGTCTTTTGGTATGACGCGATCGGGGATTGAACCCGCGACCTTCTCCTCTCCAAAAGAAACGCTCCTAACCACTACACCACAGAGGCAATCTAAATTCACTGTGACTCACATACATGAGAGTAAAGGCTACCTTTGAGATTATAGAACTTTAAATGCTACGGGCAAAAAGTTATGTTAATCTGTTAAAAATCATAACTTGTTTGTCATTTGCTCCAGCATGTAGTCAGAAATACAGGTCATCATCTTTAAAACATGGATGTCGATGTATGTGTGACCAGTTCACCTGGATTGTCAGGAGTTAAACATTTCAGACACTCTTTATATAACTCGAATTGACTAAACCACGGAGCTAGCCACCAGTGCCACAAAGTGATCATAGCGCCACGTTGGCATCAATCTATGTGAAAGTAAGGGAGTTACGATCACCTTAGTGCCACGTTGGCATCAGTCTATGTGAAAGTAAGGGAGTTACGATCACCTTAGTGCCACGTTGGCATCAGTCTATGTGAAAGTAAGGGAGTTACGATCACCTTAGTGCTACGTTGGCATCAGTCTATGTGAAAGTAAGGGAGTTACGATCACCTAAGTGCCAATGCTGGCATCAGTCTATGTGAAAGTAAGGGAGTTACGATCACCTTAGTGCTACGTTGGCATCGATCTATGTGAAAGTAAGGGAGTTACGATCACCTTAGTGCTACGTTGGCATCAATCTATGTGAAAGTAAGGGAGTTACGATCACCTTAGTGCTACGTTGGCATCAATCTATGTGAAAGTAAGGAGTTACGATCACCTGGGCGCACCATTCTATGTGCCACCTTAGTGCTACGCTGGCATCAGTCTATGTGAAAGTAAGGGTTACGATCACCTTAGTGCTACGTTGGCATCAATCTATGTGAAAGTAAGGGAGTTACGATCACCTTAGTGCTACGTTGGCATCAATCTATGGTAAAGTAAGGGAGTTACGATCACCCTAGTGCTACGATCACTTTGTGGGATGTGGTTCTTGGTCGTAGACATGATGTACTTACTCAGCCGTATCTCCTGAGGAACAGCCAGGCCCTGCTTCATAGTGTGTACCAGTTGTGTTAACTCGATGTAAGCCAGCTTCCAGTCTACGACCCGAGACAGACTGTTAGCCTCCAGCACCAGCCCTGTGATGTTGTCCACACCTTCCTGCTCACCTACACAACACAGCAAGATGTACTACAGGGTCGGAATGATTGAGGAAATGACAGACACAGGGTTTTCCAAATCATAAAACCCATGTGTCCATGACCTTTTCCTTGTTTAATGTCGTACTTAAGAATATGATGATGTGCATGCGTGTGTATGTGTGGCTGCTTGTACTAGCCCAGACTTAAGCTGGTTTTATAGTGCTAGCCCACTGAGATACCATGCCGCAGTGAAGCATGAATACCCCACTCAGACACATTATACTGACTCTGAGCTGACCAGTCCTTGTTGTACCCATTAATGCCGAGCTCCAGGCAGGGACCAACAAGTACCATATTTTAACGTCTTTTGGTATGATGCGGTCGGGGATCGAACCCAAGACCTTCCGCTCTCCGGGGAGGACGCTCTAACCACTACACCACCAAGGTGGTCTCATCCTTCTTGGAACTTTTGCCAACAAAGATACCTTCAAGAATCACAGTATAAACTACAATCAATGTAAACAAAGCTGCAAGAATGGTGAGACGACATAAAGCAATAATTCCTCACTAACTCACAACAAAAAGCTGTCACCATAGAGTAAAGCAACCATTATAACTTAATGCCTTGAGTGAGTACTTTGATGCATCTACCATGGAGTTACGATCCAGAGGACCTATATAACAACCCTACCACCTTGGATAGTCCTTAAATAAAGAGAGCACAGAGCTCCACCAGGACAGTAACAACCAACCCTACCACCTTGTGATAGTCCTTAAATAACAAGAGCACAGAGCCCCATCCAGGAAGTGTTCATAGAGCTATATCCAGGGTACGATTTCATTTTTCTACTTCCTACACCAGGTGCAACCAAATGAATTAATCAACAACAGATATTTCCTTATAGCAGAGCGAGATGGATATTCAGCAAACTGTTAGTATCTCCAGAAAAGCTCACATTACTTGATCTCTGAAAGGATGTTTTGATTGATTGTTCCTTTTTAACTGACATTTTCAATCATAAATTACATTTCTTCAATGGAAAATATCAACTTGTCCATTACAACTGATCCATTATACAGTGACATTTGGATTTTCATTAAATGTCACAAGACCGTTTATAGTTTGTGGTCAAAGTAATTTCATAATGAGCATGAATACAGACTTATTTACATTTTGCGGTTCTGTTTATGGATTCATCTGACACACACAATAGCAAATACTGGAAATATCCTGAACATCATTGAAAACGCACCAGTCTAAAATTGTCCATATTTTCAAGATTGATTTCAGCATGACAATGATCAATGAATATAACTAACATGAAGTCGAAGGGCGTGTCCAGTTGAAAAAATGCTTTAGCAACAAATTCCTGTCCACAGTATGACTCTTAATTCCAAAATGCATTAACATGCAGCCACGCCATGAAAAAAACGCGAATTTCATTCTGAAATGATACTGACTGTGACATTAAAAGCAGGTGTATGAGAACCAAATTCTCATTGCTTCACTAACGATTGTGAAACGAGGACAGAGATGCTGAGGTTAACACCTCACGAAAGAGAATGTGCACTAGGCATGATTCAAGTTGGCACCAGCAGCAGGAATATTGCTCGACAACTTGGACTTGGCCACTCCACCATCATTAGGCTTCATAGACGACATCATTAGACAGGCAGCACCCGTGACCTTCAATGACCTTGGCAACAACGTGTTACGACGCTTCATCAGGATCGCCATATTGACCTTGTCCATATCAGTGATTGAACACTGCTGACTGCCAGGACTGCTGCACTAGTTCAAGGTTGACGTGGGGGTCATCAGCGCTGACTCCATGCCACGCCGTCTACACGCTACAGGGCTCCATGCTTGACGTCCTTACGTTGGACCAATTCTGACTGACAGACATCGTAATGAGCGTATACAATAGGCTAGCAGGCATTTTCAGTAAAGGTTACAACAATGGCATGGTGTGGTAGTCACTGACGAGTCACGTCTTCATCTACGTAATGCTGATGGACGATTACGTGTTTGGCGTAGACGTGGTGAACGTTATGCTGATGAGTGTGTGGTTCAGACAGACCTTTGGGTGGTGGGAGTGTCATGGTCTGGGTTGGAATAAATTACAATCACAGGACTGCCTTCATGTCTGTCAAGGGAGAGTTAATGCCCTTCATTAACGTGGAAGATTCTTTTCAACAAGACAACGCATACACAACAAGACTTTCCATGCAGTATCTGGCCTAGCAACACATCCAGGTTATTCATTGGCCAGCACAGTCGCCAGATGGAGCATTTGTGGGACGAAATTGGTTAAAGTCTTTCGCGGCGACAACAGATGCGAAACATCCAGGAACTTGAGGCTGCACTACTGCAGAAGTGGAATGCCATCCTCAAGAACTCTATTCGGACGCTTATTGACTGAATGAGGAGACGTTGAACTGCATGTGTCAATGCAAATGGCGGTCACACTCGATATTGACTTTTCAATTTGACCCCATGTGTGTTTGATCCTTTCTGACTGTGGAACATTTCAATGAATGAGCGTCTTTTCTGTGTTGTTGTTTTTGTCAGTCGTCCATCTGTTATTATCCACTCAAAAAATATCAATTCCTTACACATGCTTTTAATAATCTGAACTTTTAAGTGGTGCATTTTCAATAATGTTCAGTATATATACTAATACAACTGCTGCCATGCACATGTGGTGGACAAAGTTACCTGCAAAGTGCAACCTGACAATAAAACTTCCCTGCACTAGTAATAATTTACCTGCACTGGTGCAACCTGGATATAATAAATCAATCCTGTATATCTCTACAGTTCAATATAACATCAACGACTGTCATAGTTCTATGGATACTTGTGGATCAAAGCCTAAAGGTCTTTTATGATTGATAGAACTGAAACAAACCGTGTTTCCTTCCTCAGCTATGTCCCAAACTATGCCATGCATACCTTCTCCTGGCAGTGGCTATGGATAATTCCTTCTACTCGACTGGTGATCATGGGATTATACAAATCTGCTAAGTCTCTGATATAAGTATATGTGTTGGGATATACACCAGCTTTGTATAGATTGTGATGTAATCATATTTAGGCTGACAAAACTGGGTTTCGAGAAAATCATAGTGTGCGCCCAGAAATCTTGGGTAAAACTGAGTATTCTTTTACTGAATATATCAGTTGGAAAAGACCAAACTGACTTTCACAGTATTGTAATTACAACCTTAATCTTATCGAATCAAAAGAATGATGAGTACTTTTGCATTGCACCAATAATAAAATATGTGTATTATGCCACACATGTGTGAGTGGGTATAGTTTTACGCCGCTTTTAACAATATTCCAGCAATATCATGGCAGGGGAAGATTAGAAATATATATGCCACCTGGCTTTATAAGTCACATGTACATGCAATGTATCCATATTTTGAACAACCCTTACACCCAAACAAGTGACTGACTGAGTTTGGTTTTACGCCGCTTTTAGCAATATTCCAGCAACATCACGGCAGGGGACACCAGATATGGGCTTCACACATTGTACCCATGTGGGGATTCGAACCCGGCCTTTGGCATGACGAGTCAACGCTTTAACCATTAGGCAACCCCACCGCCCCTCCCCAAACAAGTGAATCTGATTCATGTCACCATATCTGATCACAGTTAAATAATTCTGAAAGATTCCATGCAGACTTTGATCACAACATTGATTGCATGCCACAGTCTGTTTTGAAAAAATATATACAAATTTTGAAATGATATGCCATATACACAGGTATATAATTCATGCCATACATAACTATGGGCAAAGGAAGGCTGAACTCACAGAACAATTAATAAATGAAACTACGCAGACAGGAAGAGACTGTACAACTTAAATCTTTGAATTTGGAATAGAATCAAACATCATTGTGGTAATGATCATTGCTTGAACCCAAATCGATTTTTGGTTCTACCTTGAACTGATAAAATCAATATCTATTGATGAAGAGAGTTAACATGTAACAATGCAGACTTCAATGACCAGGAAAGATCAATAGCTGAGTTCATCAATTAGACATGATTATAAATCAATATTTCTTTATCATCAACACGCAGCTGATTGATTAATCAATATAAAACTCCTTTAAAGGAAGGGATGTTTAGCCTGGTGTTGATAAACACATAAAAACATCAAAAGAACCCAAGCATGAGGGTGAGAGGTTGTGTTAGCACTGTGTTGCAAGGAAACACTGAGACAGCAAGGGGAATTATGAGGCTCCTAGATTGTATTAAAGCTGACCTGCCAGAGAATTTTGAACCAGCAAGGAGTTATAAGCAGGTACTTTATCAAGAGATGAACACAGGGATGATACTTGTTGATTTGAAAATGTTTTACATCCAGGAGAACAGGTCAGTCTCATGCCTTTATCATATAATAATATTGCAAGAATTGATGACTTAATTTTAAGATTTCTCCTATATTCAATTGTCACTGTAGTGTAACGTTGTTGTATGACATCAATCATCATAGCACGGTCTGACAGCATTCAAATGTTACTGCAGAGTAACCTCATATGACATCACAGCACTGTATAACATCATCATTCAATTGTCACTGCAGAGTAACCTCATATGACATCACAGCACTGTATAACATCATCATTCAATTGTCACTGCAGAGTAACCTTGTAAGACATCACAGCACTGTATGACATCATCATACAATTGTCACTGCAGAGTAACCTCATATGACATCACAGCACTGTATAACATCATCATTCAACTGTCACTGCAGAGTAACCTTGTAAGACATCACAGCACAGTATGACATCATTCAATTGTCACTGCAGAGTAACCTTGTAAGACATCATAGCACTGTATGACATCATCATTCAATTGTCACTGCAGAGTAACCTCATAAGACATCACAGCACTGTATAACATCATCATTCAATTGTCACTGCAGAGTAACCTTGTAAGACATCACAGCACTGTATGACATCATCATACAATTGTCACTGCAGAGTAACCTCATATGACATCACAGCACTGTATGACATCATCATTCAACTGTCACTGCAGAGTAACCTTGTAAGACATCACAGCACAGTATGACATCATTCAATTGTCACTGCAGAGTAACCTTGTAAGACATCATAGCACAGTATGACATCATCATTCAATAGTCACTGCAGAGTAACTTTGTAAGACATCATAGCACAGTATGACATCATCATTCAATTGTCACTGCAGAGTGACCTTGTAAGACGTCATAGCACTGTATGACATCATCATTCAATTGTCACTGCAGAGTAACCTTGTAAGACATCATAGCACTGTATGACATCATCATTCAATTGTCACTGCAGAGTAACCTTGTATGACATCATAGCACTGTATGACATCATCATTCAATTGTCACTGAGTAACCTTGTATGACATCATAGCACTGTATGACATCATCATTCAACATCCTTGCATGACATCATAGCACTGTATGACATCATCATTCAATTGTCACTGCAGAGTAACCTTGTAAGACATCATAGCACTGTATGACACATCATCATTCAATTGTCACTGCAGAGTAACCTTGTAAGACATCATAGCACTGTATGACATCATCATTCAACTGTCACTGAGAGTAACCATGCATGACATAATATATATTATAATCTTTTGCAAAACTATTATCAAGAAGAGGATGCGTCATTATGTCTCTACAGTAAATTGTGAATATGGTGCAGTATTTCAGAAGTGCTCCTAGCACAAGCTTCACGGATGACAATTTGTCATTTTGACAGGTAGATTGATACATTCAGGTTAAAAAGTGTTTCCAAGAAAACATTAACTGCTACCACAAAACAGCAAAGACATTCATAAACAAAACACACAGTCAACTCACCCATCTCCAGACACTTGAACATCCAGAGTTCGTCAGTGGCACACAAGAACCGCCATCTGCGACACACCTGAAGGGAACCGGGAATGTCTTAATTCACAACCCAATGATCGGCACCAATCAACAACAATCATTTGTTGATCTGGACACACACAAATCAAAACATTTTCAGCGTGAATGGAACTCTCTGCATGAACATGGATTCAAGGAATTTTTAATTTGTATCATATACAACAGTCTACAAGGCACATTGTTTGTACCTAGAATTGTTGGGGGATATGAAGGAGGGTTATCCTATGCATGGATGCTCCCACATTTTCTTCTGGCAAAACTCAACCCAGTACTGATGTTTGACAGTTAAACTTGGCATTTCTTTCAAAAACATAATACTCTTACTTTTAGAGGCACCAATCTTGTAATACATCTTGTCAACAGAAAATGACACCTTGTGCTGGAGTTATTCATCCACATTAGCATTATTATTTTTTCTTTGAGGGGCATTTAAAAGTTGGAGCAGTAAGAAAGGATAACAACATATGAATAAACAACATCTTTATTACAGTGAGAGTGACGTTTTAGTGTAGGTTCTAGCACCATTATCGAGCAAGTGATCAACAGAATAAGTATTGAGAGGCATATAAGTGTGAGGAATTGTTTGTACAAAAATTGGGGATTAGGACTGCAACCCATGGGGAAGCCAGTTAGCAACACTTTGCTTGAGAGATAAAAAGCCTGCAGTATAAACAATGATTTTAGCCTAAGGATCCTTGTAATGCTAAAAAGGCTGAAAAATGTAAAAGATATGTAATTCAGTGGAATCTGTAGAACATGACTCAATAAATGGTTGTCATATTTTCCATAGTCTTAGTTTCGCAAGGCCATACTGCAACATCAAGGGCTATAACTCCTGCTATACTCTTGCTCATCCGGACCAATGTCTAAAGCAGACAAAACTTTCAGTCCACTTGTCCAATTTAGACAGATTATTAAACAGTTAAATGATTGCAATTATTTCTAATTTGTGTATACCTGAGAGGCAACATCTATCTCCCGAGCAGACAGACAGGAGAAGATGTACAACAATGTGCGATCCATCAACCGGTTGATGTCAGTCTCATCTCGAATCCTGGAATGAAAAATCAATTCATAAAACAATCGGCAGTATGGCCTGTTACACAAAAAAAAGTTTCACCTGGATATGTTGTCAACAAATCAATCAATATCAAAGTCGTTGCATAAAGCTGCTTACCAAATGTTGTGATCAGCAATATTTCCCAAGTACAATTTATATACTTAGGCCAGACCAATTTTATTTTTTGTTTATGGATTTTTGTCCTCAGAAAACCTAAAGGCAGGAGGGGAAAAAATACAAAATAAAAATCACAAGTCAAAGTAATATTTCTTATAAATACTAAAAGTATTATTTATTTTAAGATGGCTATATATCGAAAATCAGATTTAAGAATCTTGGACAAATTTAGGTGTCATCATTGATAGATACAAGCATGTGATGTTACAGATTCCAAGGTCCCATCAGTTGTTTGTGGGGGAGTTGATTTGTACAGACAGACAACAGAAAACAAGACCATGGTATAAGTTCATTTGAATTTTCAGATGAGTTAGCAACAGTACAAAACTGATGTCTCTAACACCACCTGGACTGCCCCATTTGGTATAAACTTACTTCTGGTTGATATGGGAGACGAGATACTCCAACAGCATCACGGAACACACCTTGAAAATCTCCTTCAGTAGAGCTACGCTCAAACTCCTCCCACTCTGACAGCCACTGCATGTAAAAAGAAAGAAAGAATAGTTTGTTTTATAACCAGGAATCCATGTTATCAAGCAGGACCACATTAGGGACACTTTTTATGCCTAAAACATTAATATCTTTAATAATGACAATATCAAAGATATGTATACCTTCAATATCATCATTATTAAAGATATATAGATAAACAGTCAGAGCTACAGATAATATCTTTAATAATGACAATATCAAAGATATGTATACCTTCGATATCATCATTATTAAAGATATATAGATAAACAGTCAGAGCTACATATAAATAAATTATGTACTCGCTTGTGTTCATCTTAATTGGGTATCCTAATTTTCCTTTGCGTAACCAAATAAATTGTATTCACCTCACTCAGGCTCAATTGGGTATTTTGCCATTTTCCATTAATTTTAAAAATATAATAAAGCTTAAATGTTAGTGTTTGTTATTTATATTTGATCTGTAATATGAGAAACGTGAAGAAAGACTGCAAGTTTTCAAGTTCATCACCTGAAATATGTCCTCTCAATATACCTCAGTTATTTTATCTATCCACACGTACGCAAGCTAAGATTTGACATTTTTGTGTGTACGCATGTAAGATCACATTTATTGAGTATTTACAAAAATTCAAGCGTACTTGTACGCAACAGACTTAAAAGGAGTTGAGTTTTCACATAAATATTTGCGTAATTTACGCAGATATGCAGCTTATCTGTACCTCTGACAGTCAACTACTAGTATATTTACAACAAACACACTTACAATGAATTGACAGATATAACAAACTGCAGTTTGCTGTGTATTTTAGTCAAAATGTGTATAACCAACTACAGTTATAATTAGTGATCCTTTAGAGTTTGTCATAGCTGTTGTTTACTGCAGTGATACCCTTACAAAACACAACAGAGAGACACACCCACACACATACTTGCGGAAAATTACTAAAAATTATTAATAGATACAACTGATAAAAGGAGCTTCGGATACAAAGGGGTTCTAGTACTTTTACTCAAGTAACTTGACTCATGCTCAAGTACCTGACAATAACAACCTTTTGATAACATAATTATCTTAATGAATAAATTAATATTACAAGTTCAGTATGTAAGCTTATGTAGCATTTTTTTTCAAGTTAATAAAAGCAAATAGAACTTATATACATAAACAGACCCACTTGTGTGTTCTATTTTCACTGTTGTAACTTTCTGGGACATGTTGTCCTATGTACTTGTTACCAATGACACTGACACACATTTAGATGTCTTGGACATTCATTTGAACTTTAATTAAAATATTCATCAACTGAAATATCAAGCATATTATGCTAATCGGTTCTTCACATAATTAGTTCCTGAACAGCAGAAGCCATCATTTGTGGTATTTACCTCCCAAATCTGAGCCAGCTGATCTCTGAAATTGCCTGATAAGTCTGATCGTTTCGCCTTCTTGAAAACCCTGCCAGTGTTAGGGGTTTCAGGCCACCACTTGATGCTCTTGTAGGACTGGGGCATCGGCACTGGGAGGTCAGTCACCCCCACAGGCTTCTGTACCGGCCCCTGTCTGATCTCACACTGCATTGGGCCACCTGGAGTAGTGATATCAGCATTATAAACCTATCTCCAATTTTCTCTGCAGTACAGTAGGTTCCTTCCAGAATCGGGTAGACCTCTGTTGTGACTTTGCACCGATCATTTCTAAACCCAGGTTTTGAAGTACACGTTTTGAATTCTCAAATCAGGTTAAATTTCGACCATTTCATAACCTAGGTTTTGAAATGGTCGTTATTTAACCTGATATGAGGTTTTGAAATGACCATTATTTATGATTGATAAAACTTTGTCTTGCTATGACTGAATGCAAAATATCTCATTATTGAAAACTTCCAATATATAGTGGCGATAGCTGGTTTCGAACCCTCAACCCTTCGCTCTCTAGCTTGGCGGTTTTATCCACTAGGCTATGAAGGATGGCTGTGCAAAATGAGATTGTTTGTCAGTATGAAGCATGTGTTCCTCAATAGACAGGTACTGCCGGCAGCGCACGTGCAGGACACAGGTAGCGCGTGCAGAGCGCCAGTCGCATCCCAGTTGACACCGGCTGTTCCATCATTTGCGGGTTGTTCCATCAATGTTGTTCTGCTCAGTACATGCACAAATTGAAAATATTACATATTTGTGTTTTACATTCATTATGGTTCATAAGTCGGATAAAACACTCCCCCTCAGTCTTGGTCGGGATTGTAAAACCCTCGAGCAGCCCGAGGTTTTACAAGCTCTGTCCCTGCTGTTCTCAGGTTTTACAATCCCGACCAAGACCTCGGAGTCGTGTTTTATCCTTTACTTACCCCACATCCAGTTGTTGTAATGCTGGGTGCGATTTCATTTTTTTTCTGTACATGCACTGAGTGTAAGCTGGCTTATAGGTTTGGCTATACCATCAAATTTTGGTTGCCCTACAAAGTAATGTCACGGGTTCTAAAACGTAACATGAATACTTGTTTAGCAATTTTCAAAACAAGTACTCAGTATCAGATACATTCAACAGAACCTAACTCCATGATGATAATGATGAATGATTCTGTTTCAGATTTGCATTACCTTTATTTATAAATCTCAATGATATGATTACTGCTACATAACTGATTAATAAGTACACAAATGTTTATGTTTGTAACAAGTCTTGTTACTTCCAGCCACTTACTTCCCAATTAAAACACACAATGACAGCTATAAGATAGTGGAGGATTTATTTTTACCGGCACTGGGTGCAACCTGTTACTAAAGGCAACCTGCACCAGATGCAACCTGTTACTAAAGGCAACATGCACCGGGTGCAACCTGTTACTAAAGGCAACCATCACTGGGTGCAACCTGTTACTAAAGGCAACCTGCACCAGGTGCAACCTGTTACTAAAGGCAACCTGCACCACCCTGTAAATGTTCCTTTTATTTTAACTACAAGTGTACATCTCAAGTGACATTTATACATTTATTGTTGCCATTTCAAAATAATTTACATTGCAGACTTTTCATATATCCAGCTACTAAAAAGTGTAGCGTGTTAAAGAAAGTATCAACTCTTCAAATGGTGGTGTGTATAGTGTAAGAGGAGGATCATCAATATTTATCACAACGGTGAGGGGTCATAAATGAATGACAAGGTTCTGTTGTTGTCTTTTAAAGAAAAAGATTATAAATTAGGAGGAGGGGCAGGACAAATCCTGTGCAGGGATGTTTGCATGTCTCTGTGTTAGGCTACATCCATGTGTCCTGTGACCAATCCCCCCCCTTCTACACCGTAAATGTCTGTTGTGTAGTGATACTGTTTTCACTGGTCCATCACAAACAAACTTTAACAAGGGACTGCAACAATAATAACTGGTAATAGTATCATGATGATATATTATGTGTCCTAAGAATTCAGTTTTTAAAAAACAAAAGAAGACAAGAATGTTTATGTAACATAAATGAATTAATATGTCTTCTCCAAACAAGCAGAATAATAGTATGTCCCTTTCACAGACCAGACATCATATTAACAGTTTAAAGGATCAAAATAAAGTGGGGCTTGTCAAAAGCTGTGAAGAGTCCTACAGTCCCTGACCGCCTCCATGGTGTAGTGGTTAGAGCGTCCGCCCAGAGAGCGGAAGGTGGCAGGTTCGATCCCTGACCGCGTCATACCAAAAGATGTTAAAATATGGTACTTGTTGGTCCCTGCCTGGCGCTCGGCATTAATGGGTACAACAAGGACTGGTCGGCTTGGAGTCAGTATAATGTGTCTGAGTGGGGTATTCATGCCTCACTGCGGCATGGTATCTCAGTGGGCTATCACTATAAAACCAGCTTCAGTCTGGGCTAGTACAAGCAGCCACACATACACATACACACGCATGCAAGTTGTCATATGAGCAAAATATTCTCAAGCACAACGTTAAACCCAATTTCACCTCACCTCACCTCACCTCAGTTTCATGGGGCCGTGGGGTAGTCTAGTGGTTAATGAGTGAGTACGGTTTACCCGCTTTTAGCAATATTCCAGCAATATCACGGTTCAAAGTAAAGTGGGGGCTTGTCAAAAGCTCTGAAGAGTCCCACAGTCCCTACAGAACCTAGCATAAAGGTCCCCCGGAGGATTTCTTTCTAAATGACACTGTGTATTCTATCAGTATTACCCCATTAAGAAAGTCCCGTAATTATAAGTTTACAACTACATGAGTTGTATAGATCCTGGATTTCATATCGTTTACATTTTAACCAGGCAATTCAAACATAATCAGAACCACGTTATAACAACAAGAAAACAAAAAGAATAATGAAACAAAACCAAAATTATCATAAAACCGACAAGCATGATCAAACTTTGTTTGGCAATATATCACAATATAATGTGAAACAGGCAATAATCATTGCTAAAATACATACCCAGCACACGCCTCGGAGAGAAGAACTCGAGAGTGCTGACAGCGGAAGATCCAAACGCACTATGCCTGAACCGGCTAGAGGTTGTCCTGATACTAGTACTGCTCCTTCTGGACCCAGTCTTCAGTTGAATGTTGCCACCCAGGAACCTTGTACTTCCCTTCCTTCTGCCATACTTCTTCAGGAGGAATTTCTGATTAACCTTGACATTCTGCCCTTCCGGCATACTGGGTGTTTTGGGATCATTGTCCTCCTGTAGATGACTGTCCTCTTGTCTATACACCTCAGTGTTCTCCACATCTGAATCCATACTCTCCACTTCAAGGCGCTCTACCTCCTCATCTTTATCTCCGTCTTCGTCCACAGTTCCACCTTCAGTCTTAAACTCACTATCACCATTTTCTCCTGCATTGTTTTCAGATCCGTCTTTCACTTTTGATTTCGAGAATTCCCTCTTTTCAATTTTTTCTATTGTTGCCACCTCCTGAAATGCTGATTGCAATACTCCCTGAGCTAGCTGGTCAGCAAAAGAGTCTAAAACTTGAACAGGTGTTATTGGGGGAATTTCTTCTTTGTCTGGTTTAACATCATCTGCAAATGTTACTGAAACTGTGGATAACTTAGAATTGGCTCTACTAACTCTCCTAATCTTCTGTTCACTTGATTTTGGGGTTTGGGATTTTTCAGCTGAGTCAGTTTTACTTTTGATATTTTGATCACGAATTGATTTTTTCTTCTGAGACTTTCTGTTTGGTTTAGAGTCAAGATGAATCCTATGGACTTGCTGAACTCTTCTGAAGGAAGCTGATGGGTATCTCTGTCGCGATGCGGTCACATAATCACGATGACGTACTGGTTCCAATGTGGTTGCCAAGATGTCCAGCTGATGAGCCGAGCACCTGAACAGGTGAGAGAAGACATGACAGTTGTCGTCCAATCTATGTTTACTGATGAAATTATGCTCATGTCAAAATTTAAACTGATTATATATCACTGCATAGAACATATATTCTTTTTAGATAATTTCACAAGTTTAGTTCAACAAATACTTTGGTAACAGCGTTCTTGTTTTTCATGTTATTTTTTCCCTTATCTGACACCAGCTATTAAAAAAGTAATGAATTTGTTTTCCTATTTTCAACTCTTATATCATTTTAGGTTGACAGGTCCATAAACCAAGAATTATAACCATTCTCCTCTCTGGGCCCCAATCATCAAAGCTGCATGTTTGATTCCAAATTCTAGTAACTCCGTTCGACACTGAAAATATTTACCTGTTTGCAATACCACAGAGTGAGATTCTTTGCTGCCAAGGCCTCCATGCTTCGAACCACTCACACACTGTCTTAAATATCTGCTGGTTATTGAGTGAGGTGAAGTCGCTGTATCTCCCACCTGTGTTAAGTGGAGGAAGATGCGTCACCCCTTCAAAGTTTCCATACCGTAGTCCACTGGCAGGGCGGATTGAATTGTTCCTTGTTAGATTGATCGGAGCAATGGTGGAAGGCATTTTTAATTTCTGGAAGAAAATACAACACATGCTAAAACCATGTTGCAGATTAAAACCCATTATGCACAAAACCGTTTGTTAATCAATATGTTAATCATCTTAAATTACTTACACCCATCATATATTAAGGTCATTGCAGCTCTAATATGTTGACTCTCATATTTTAAGTCATCGAGGTGGTGACACTCTACTTTCCAAAAATAAGTTAGGCTTCTAAAATTCTGTCATTGTTTGCTCACTTTGTCATGTAATATTTCATGACATTTAGATATGATGAAAAGATATACTTTCTTTTAAATATCATGATAACTATTCAAGGAAGAGGTGATTTCTTTAGAATGTCACAATAGTAGGCCTATACTTGAGTTAGTTATTGATTTCATCCTTTCATGACAAGACAGATTATCTTGATGTATTATATTTCTTTTCAATACCAACTTGAGTAAGACAAGTTTCTTGTGTGTGGAATGAGATTTTTTTTCAAAATGAAAATACATAAACCTCGTACTGCTAATGTACAGTGTTACGGTGAAGCATTTTTTTAAAATGAATTTCTGACTCTAAAACTACATCTCTTCTTGACAGATACTTACAGCCAGACACAATTAATTAATGAGTGAATATTGTGAGACATTAGACAGCTATATTACAGTATTATGGAGGTATTTGTTTTCCTCAACAAGACAAACCAGCAAGGCATTATCTTTGTAATCAAGAGTTGATTACACTCAGCCTGGACATGACCTCCTTATCTCCATTTAGTCAGGTCTTATGACAAGCTAAGGATAACGGAAACCTAAATTACGGTCCTTAAATTCACACAGCGAGAAGAATGGAGTGAGTTTAGGTTTACACCTCTTTTAGCAAAATTCAAGCAATATCAAGGCGGGAGTCACCAGAAATGGACTTCATACATTGTACCCATGTGGAGAATCGAACCAGGGTCTTCGGCATGATGAGCAAATGCTTTAAGCACTAGGCTACCCCATCGCCATGGAGAATTAGGGAATGGGAATATTCTCCTTTTGTACCAAAAATGAGGAATTCTAACATTACTTTCACATTGCAATCATGTAGTAATTTTAAACTGCCTTATAAGTTTTGTTCAGTAACACAAGTAGTGATCACTATAGACATCAATCAAATGTTCAAATTATAAATATTAGACTATTTATTCAAAAGACTTGTTCATGTCATGTTTTTTTAATTCATATAATATGCTAATGTAATTGTAAGAACACATTGTGTCAAAAAGGAAGTAGGTTCCGGTGAGTCCTTTTTCATGTTTTTACTTATTTATTCTCTTCAGCTATATATGCGTCCCCTGCACTTTATAATGTCAGCAATGAAAACATTTCTGAGTGCAAGAAAGTAAAAAGCAAGGTATCTTTTGTAATATTGTAATAATTTTAACATAAACATAAACAAGTTTTATATTTCCTGCGGGCCAAGATCGATTGTGATTCTACTTTGTCCTTTTATAAATTTACCGAATCGTATACCTGTGACTAACCTACTTGAGATCAACGATTGATTGGATCTGTTGTTTATGCACTCCAGACAAATCTGTGGTGATATCACTCACCAGACTGACAACATGATATCTCTACGGTAGATGATACTCGCATGTCAACTTACGTGACAACTGACAGATCTGTCAACAACACCACATCAGTATGTTTTTGCATTCATATCTATCCAAATATTTCAATATTTTCAGTTTTCACAACAGCAACAACTAAATAATAACCCATGCTACATTACAGTATATCTATAATAGAGTGTCGCTTTGACATATTTCATTAATTCGCTTTTCAAAAATATTTACGGTCGCAATCAAGTTTGTTTACATCGTTTAGACTCCATTTTGGAAGTTTCTAAGAGAATTGCATTATGGGTAGCTATATTTTTTATTAAAATATAGCCTGTATCTTTCTTCTGCAATATTGTTCGACATAACAACATAAGCAACCGAATAATAAATTTATTCAAATGAAAATAAATGAGGAAAACATTCTGAACCAATCAACTTTAATGAGCGGGAGAATCGAATGCGTTCTGTTTCCGGTTATCACCGAGTCTAGACAAGTAAAGAATTTGTTTCTATTTACTTTTTCTGTCGCACTAATGCTGATTAGTATCGATGGTGTGGGGAATATTTACTTTGAATGAGAGAATTAATTGTGTGTTGATCTAATTGTTAGTGTCAGTATTCTGTATAAACATTATCATCAAATCAAGGGCACCTGTTTCTGTCATTGTCCTGTTTTCGATCACGTATTGAGTTTGTTTTGCCGTCATTCTCATGATCTTATGGCATAAGTTGAATTTGGAGGAACGGAGGAAACAGATTCACTATGTTGAATTTTTGTTTAAAACTGTTATACCGATCATCTCTGAACACATACAGAGCTAACTGCCCCCTGTCACAAAAAGTTGCATTTACCTTAGAGTATAAATGACCTCACCTCGTTTCTGTTTATATACCGGTATGCCTATCAAATTTTAGGGTGTTCCCATATTTTTTGTTTGTAGAATATATTTCTAACATCCATACAATATACATTTCAAACTTATATTCATTTTACATTTCAAACATTCATGCAATGCTTGGATTTCGATTGCTCAATGCTTGGGATTTCAGTGGGTACGGATTTGGTACAATTCATCCAGTTGTTTAGGTATGAGTGGGTAGAGTCTGTCAATTATTTGGGTACCAGTCCACCAAAAACCTTTGGGTAGGAATGTCTGTTGGTACAGATTGTCCACACTGATCAACTGAAATACACACTGATTCATTGACTCACTAATTCATCACATATCGTGGTGTTTGATCATGCGTTCACTTACGGATTTGCTGCATTATAGATATAGACATTATTCATGTTGTTAATTAATTGTCAGATGTAAGATTATTGTTCAGTTGACTATTTTATACATATTTTCACTTGCTACTCTCGTATAAAGTGAAGGATGCATTTGTAACCTTATTTCTAAGTTATCATTAATTTCAGTTGTATCTTAACTTTTATTTTCACATTTATGCCTGGCGCTCGGCATTAATGGGTACAACAAGGACTGGTCGGCTCGGAGTCAGTATACTGTGTCTGAGTTGGGTATTCATGCTTCACTGCGGCATGGTATCTCAGTGGGCTAGCACTATAAAACCAGCTTCAGTCTGGGCTAGTACAAGCAGCTGCACATACACATACACACGCATGCACGCCGTCATATGAGCGAAATATTCTCAAGCACGACGGTGAACCCAATTTCACCTCACTTCACATTTATGCAATCTGTGATCATGGTGATATATGACAGTGAAAGTTTGAATAAACATTATCACAATAAATAAATTATTCCATACAACATTTTTTTTATCTAACTGATTTTTAAATGTATGAAAACAAATTTGAAATGAAGATGAATTGGGTTTCTAAGTCATAGGAAGGATGCATCAAGCATACTCACAACTATTTGATTTTCAGAACAGCTAACGTGCAGCAACATGACTGACTTTGACACTGATGAAGAGACTGGAGAAGTTGATCTTTCACCATTTCAAATATCATGGTAGGTCAAATGACCACTGATAGAGAGGTATCAGCATTGTTGAGTACATGTACTTGTGTTTTCTAATTCCAGGTTAGTCATATGGTTGGTTAAATGGGAAATTGCTTTGGGAGATTGTCACTATGACCTTAGTATGAATGTGTACAGCTTTGAATGTCTTTATCCATCCTTGCAGCTAAAACTGCTGATGAACATAGCTGCATGAGACGTGTACACTGTAGTCAGAGAATTAAACAGGTGTCGCCAGATCTTGCTCTAAATTTGTGAAAATGGGGACGTACACCTATTACTAGTTTTGTTAGATGGGCCGATGCTTATGTAGATGGATGTTGGTTTATACCTATTTTACTTTCTTTTCATAAAGTATATTTTAATTTATTTACAGTTCAGTTATTATTAACATTGCTGTGTCCATATCTTCAGATGTTGAAATTTCTTTCCAGGTTGGATCTGAGTTTTACTGGAGCTGATGAAAAACTAGGAATCTCTGGGCTTCCTGGTAAGTTTGGCAATTTGTGTTACTTTGAATGGAGAATATGCTTGAATGTTTAGTAGTTTATGTCAAAGCTTCTTAATAACATGAGAAATGATCATGTAAATCTCTTTTGTGTACTCTTTGTCAGTAAAGGTTTTAGTTCTGTTGCAAATTTCATTTTTATATTGTTTGTGTAATAGTACTTTAATATCTGGATCGTCAGCTTAAGACTTGAGATATCAGTCTGATTCAAGAACATTTCTTTCATTCTAGTAAATTCATCTAATAGAAGCTGTGTAAACATGATTATGATGAATATATCTTGTGAAAAAGTCGTTGAATGACTTGTAGAGTCATTCACTATCAATAGTTCTTCCTATCTGTTGATACTAAATGGATCTGTCGGCCATGACAATGGAAAATTGTGTTTGTGTGCAAATATGATTAATTAAGTTATGGTGCTTTTTATTGTTATCAGGATGTCGCTTCAAAGACACATGGAGGAATCTAAACAATGATTTGAGTGAGTTGGAGTCATGTTTCAGGATTTTATGGTATATTTAGTTCATTATATTAAAATTGTAAGTCAAGCTAGAAATATGTCAGCTATATTGTTGTCGCAGGGTTTTAAAACACGACCACTGGGCTGGTGTTCAATGTCTTTATTCTGCCATTTGCCATCGTGGTACAAACACGAGCGTGCCGTAAACCTGTAATTAGGAAATTACGTAGAGGGCTGCCGCTGCCAGCATGGTGTGTGTCTTTATAAATCAATACGACAAGTAAAACTTTGGTTTGCAATTACAATTGACTACTGATCGATTACTGAACTCTGATTATCGATCTGCATATTTTGAGCAATAACCAGCACTATTAATATGTAATCTCATGTCTACTGATCTCTGATACAGAATGTCTTCAGAACAGTGGCGTGGAAGAGGTGTTTACGCTGTGCACTAAAGGCGAGCTCAACAAATACCGCGTTCCCAACCTCCTTCATGACTTCGCTGGGTCAAACATCACAGTCCACCACTACCCCTTCCCTGACGGACAGGTGCCCTCAAGCAGCAGCTTACTCAAGATGGTGGAAGAGCTCAGGGTCAACATCATGAACCAGAAAAAATCTCTCATTCAGTGAGTATCTTATATTTATAGCTGTGTTTTATCTGGCCTTACAATACCAAGGGTCCATACTATACACAAGTACTAGTTTCATGGGTCCTTGCAGGAAATTTGGGGATCTTGTAAAGTGATTATATAATGTACTGTACTTTTTGATGTATTAATTATGTGCAGGAAATTTATATTTATCATCCAAAACTGTGTTCCACAGGAGATATCGCCGCTGTTGAGGATCAAACGATATCTCCTAGGAGATATCGCTTTTGACAGTAGATTTTGTACAATGCCCTGACAATGTGATGACGCCATGTACTTGATGACGCCACAATGCTATGACATCGCTGCACTGCAAGTCTAATGGCAGTACCATGTTCAGAGATGTACATTTTTCATTGAAAATTAATGAAGAGTGATTTTGAATGATAATAGAATTATTTTCACCCTCGTTCTTCTGATATCAATATATCAACACTCACCTAAGTTGATAGTAAAATATCCTCGGCAAGCCTCGATATTTGTAACTTTATCAACTTGTTGATATAATTGATATCAGAAGACACTTGGGTGAGATTCTATTTTCATCAAGAGTTTGGTACAATGAATATGACTGTGTCGATGGAGACATCTACGTCCATTATGTATGTTTGTGCATGAGTAAAGGCAGACCGTTGTTGACATCTTGAGTAAAGGCAGACAACAGACTCTGTTGACTTAATATTGTTAAGGAAAGAAAGAAGCATCTTTGTTTGGTCATCAATACAGAAGAAGTGGTGCATATGTGCATGCCAGCATTGACTTTTTATAACATTTGTGGTTACATTTGACCACTTTCTGCAAGACATTGTGAACTGAGACATTTTGTAAGTTCTGTATGATTCTTATAATGCTGTGTTACTTCAGTTATGTATTTGTGCCAGTATGTTAAATCTGTTGAATTACCTCTCTCCCCAGCTGTTTCGGAGGCCTTGGACGCTCATGTCTAGGTGAGTTGCCATGTCACGTCCATACTTTAACATAGACTTTCCATACACTTTAACATGGACTTAAAAGCACAATGAATGAGTGAGTTTTGTTTTACGCCGCACTCAGCAATATTCCAGCTATATAGCGTCGGTCTGTAAATAATCTAGTCTGGACCAGACAATCCAGTGATCAACAGCATGAGCATCGATCTGCTCATTTGGGAACCGATGACATGTGTCAACCAAGCCAGCGAGCCTGACCTCCCAATCCCATTAGTCGCCTCTTACGACAAGCATGGGTTACTGAAGGTTCATTCTAACCCGGACCTTCACGGGTTACGAGCACAAAGAACACATTGTTGAATGTTACCCAGGTCTTACATGATCAGGATGACACATGTATTTTCATAACATTAGGAGCCTACCTGATGTGATGTGCAACATTCTGACAATATATTCCCTGATATCAACTCTTACATTCGATAGTATTTCATCTTGCCAGTAACTGAAGAAAATCTGTTTGACAAAAATAATTGTATTAATATTGTGTTGACGTGGAGAGTACATGTTCCCATGGTTACAGTTGCTGTGTGTCTGATAATGGTGATGGACGAGAGTATTTCCCCCGAGGAGGCCATCGATAAAGCTCGAGAGTTGCGAGGAGCTGCAGCCATTCAGTCTGTGAAGGTCAGTAGCAACATGTACTTTTATTGAGTTGTTACCAGTTAAATAAATATGGACCACGTGCCACAAATATGGGGGCAGGGGAGTGGGAGTGATGCTGCTCTCAGTTGATTGTCAGTTTGACTCATTTGTTTGTCGTTGACCTGGACACTTGGACCACTGGTCATCATGGAGATAAATTACACAAGGGAACATTGCTTGAGTTTTGATTTCATTTTGGTGACAGTGCCAGTTATTTCAGACATGATTGCATTGTTTTCAATTCAGGTGGGAAGGGATCAAAATAGAAGTTACATGATTTTTTTGTTAGCTTTACTATTCTTTTGACATGACCCGTAATGATACCAAAGGGAGGTTACTGTGACAAAGCATCCATCCAAAAGACATGCCATGTTTGAAAATATGCACAGTTCCACTTCCAGTCACAGTTACGTTACCTGAACACTCTGTCACATAGGAGTGAGCGAGTTTGGTTTTACGCTGCTTTTAGCAATATTCCAGCAATATCATGGCGAGGGACAACAGAAATGGACTTCACACATTGTACCCATGTGGGGAATCGAACCTGGGTCTTCCACGTGATGAGCGAACGCTTTAACTTCTAGGCTACCCCACTGTCCCAGCCACATTGGACTCAGTACAGATAAACAATCATCACAAACACAATCATTTCGCAGACTAAGACTTTAAGATATGCTGACAAAGGGCAAATTTACAATGTGTGTAGGGGCGGTGGGGTAGCCTAGTGGTTAAAGCGTTGGCTCATCACCCCGAAGACCCGGATTCGAATCCCCACATGGGTACAGTGTGTGAAGCCCATTTCTGGTGTCCCCGCCATGATGTTGCTGGAATATTGCTAAAAGCGGCGTAAAACCAAACTCAGTCAGTACAATGTGTGTATCAGAAAGATTAATGTAAAAGATCCGATTTTGTTTTCCAGCAATATAACTTTATCAACGATTTCCGGAAGCTGCAGGAAGAAGTTCAAGCAGAGGACGGAGGAGAATCACGATCTGTGTCGCGATGAGGATCATAATATCTAAGGGTTGGGTGGGAATTTCATGTGTAGGAATCGTCCAGGGCTGAGATATCTCCTCCAGCGAATTAGTTGTTTTAATTATTCTGCATTTCATGTATGATGTTGTTTTGGTATCCCACTTGTTAAGCTGTCACATCAGAGATCTGTTCTTCGAGTGGGTACAGCAAACGTGTTTTAGCTCATTTACTTTCTCTATTGTTATGGTTTTTCTGACACTTTGAAAGTGAAACTTTGCTTGTTATGACATAAAGTTGATTATTGGAAACAAATCTTGATAAAATGATTGGGAATGATGTAAGCTTTCTTTGTACATTTTCATGTTATGTATTGCATTTGATATTATCTCTGTGAAACTTTGTGAAATAAAACTTTATTTTCAAAGAGATTGTGAATTATTCTTGAACAAAATTCAACGACAAACATCAGACAGAAGAAACATACCATGTATGCTGACCATTCTTAGATAATTGTACAATTTTTTTTATTGTGCTCTGTACTGTGCTATACTTAGCAAAAAATGTTCTTGACAATCCATACTTTCTTGTGCATTCACAGGTCTTGTTGTGCAGAGTTGTGTCCCTTGAAGACAACAGAAACCTATTGTCATCTGTTTGAACCTTGGTTTATAATTGGCCACTTACATAACGCTGAACTCCACGCCGCAGGGACATGCTCTAAGTGCATACAACATGGTGGACATTATTACCCCGGATAGCCCAAGCTGCTTGCGGGGCACTAGAAGGTTAATGGTCATATGACATACCATCGGGTACCCATTTTCTGCTGGGTGAACAGAGGCAATTTTGAACAAACTCACTTGCCCAAGGTGTGACCACATAGGTGCTTCGTTGTGGGGCAGGTCAGTAGTCCTAGAAACTCTAAGGAGTCAAGCTGCCAAACACTGTCACCCATCCAAGGACTCTCCGTGACGTTGTTTAACTTCACCTGATTTCTATGCACAAGACCACACATCACTGCTTCAGTGCCCCAGTTATGGTTCTGTGTGTGTCAACAGCATACATGTGATCATGGTTTTATTATCCCCCGCAACGCGTTTTGCGGGGGGTATTAAAATGGACTCCGTCCGTGCGTCCGTGCGTGCGTCCGTCCGTCCGTCCGTCCGTCCGTCAGTGCACATTTGTCTTTTCCGGAGCAGAACTCTAAAACCGTTCAATATTTCTTCACCAAACTTGGCACATACATGGATCTGGTGGTGTACTGGTGCCTTTGGTAGTTTTGGAATTCTGAATAAAATATTTTTTAGCGTTTCCATAGCAACAAGTTCGACTTTGACTGAAATTAGTGGTAGTGCTCTTTTCCGGAGCAGAACTCTAAAACCGTTCAATATTTCTTCACCAAACTTGGCACATAGATAGATCTGGTGGTGTACTGGTGCCTTTTGGTAGTTTTGGAATTCTGAATAAAATATTTTGGGCGTTTCCATGGCAACAAGTTTGACTTAGACTGAAATTGGTGGTAGTGCTCTTTTCCAGAGCAGAACTCTAAAACCATTCAATATTTCTTCACCAAACTTGGCACATAGATAGATCTGGTGGTGTACTGGTGCCTTTTGGTAGTTTTGGAATTCTGAATAAAATATTTTTGGCGTTTCCATGGCAACAAGTTTGATTTAGACAGAAATTGGTGATAGTGCTCCTTTCTGGAGCAGAACTTTAAAAACCTTTCAATACTCTCCTTCCACTTTTCTATATACACACCTAAATATTTGACATAATCATAACTCGTAGACATAATCATGAAGAGTATTTTGCCATTGCGGGGGATATCGATGACTTTGTCTTCTTGTTGCTGAAGTTTCGACTTGCTCCACTGGGGCTTTCCTTCTATATTACACACGCACATCATGACATGACTAGAATACTATTAACAGGGGCATAAAACACAACATGGTGTAGTTCTGTCAACAGTTTATCTGATTCCTTCTTTAATAAGCATTTTAAATCATTGTTCAATATAGAAAGGTATCTTACACTCTCTATCCCTGTACATCTGACTATGCATGACTCATTTCAGATATAGTAGGTTTGAAATTGCAGCCGATTTGGGGAGATACACAAATGTCCCGTACAATGAACGACTGTGTAAATATCGTTTAGAAAGGGAAGCTCTTTTGTTGAAGATAAGTGAGTTCAGTTTTAAGCCACTTTTAGCAATATTCCAGCAATATCACAGCAGGGGAAACCAGAAATGGGCTTCACATTGTTGAAGATGAATATCATACATTGCTTGAATGTGAGCGGCTTACTCAGCCCTAAGAAATAAGTATCTTAAACAAGATATCAAGTCCCACACTATAACATCTTTTATCAAAATTCTTTCATTTGAAAACTTTGATGCTGTATATAACTCAAGTCTTTCTGTCTAAAACACAACTCACTTTTACAGGATTTTGAAGAATGCAGTGGATACAATTGTCTTGTATTTGTTTGTTGTACTCAGCAATATTCCTGCGAATATGGTATGGTATGGGTTGTATGCAAATAACAGTCTGGACCAGACAATCCAGTGATCAACAGCATGAGCATCAATCTACGCAATCAGGGTACTATAACATGTGTCAACCAAGTCAGCGATATTGACCACCCAATCCTGTTAGTCGCCTCTTACGACAAGCATGGGTTGCTGAAGACCAGTTCAACCCGGATCTTTGTGGGTTTGAGTGAATTGTAACTACCATCCATGTTATCTATGTTTCAACAGTTCCACTTAGTTTGCAATATACAACTCATTCACTGACAAGTTGAACAGGTGTACTGTTTAGTAAGCACCCTGCTTTTTGAAGTTTCTGAACATCTAGGGCACTTAATACAGCAAATACGATAGTATTCTTTCTCTAAATGTGTACCTGTGAAGATCCGGGTTATCACTGATCTTCAGCGAACCCATGCTAAGAGACAACTGATGGGATCAGGTGATCAGGCTCGCTGACTTGGTTGACACACATCACTGTATATCAGTTGCGTAGATAGATGTTCATACTGTTGATCACTGGATTGTCTGGTCCTATTGAATAATGTTTTGTTGAGGAGCGTGGATCGACACAATTCTTTTGTGGCATGATGTGAGTAATGTCACCTTCTTAGAAACATATTGGGAACAACAACATATCAACAAAATAGTAAACATGTTAGTGTTATAGCCACTTACCGGCGAACAACAAGAGAATACTGATCGTTGTCTTCATGATGGTACAAATGATTGTCGTTTGTTCAAAACGGCTACTTATGTGACTGGAAGATTCTTATCTATCATGCTCGATCTATTATTTAATGGTTGTCTTGAGCGTCTGTGCCCTTGGCCCCAGTTGTCCAAAATAGATATGCCATATTTGGATACTTGATGCCTGATAGGAACAACGGTACATGCACCGAATTCCTTTCATTTAGTTCTCAACAATGTGAACCCTGTCAGCACTCCCTCTGCTTGTCAGCCATTACAGTCACGTGACAACTGACTCGCAGCGACCTGGAGAAGATCAAGGTTAGAACTGGTCTGCAGCAACCCTTGCTTGTCGTACAAGGCGACTTGGTTCACGCGTCGTAGCGATGATTTATGCTCATGACGTCAATCACTGGATTGTCTGGTATAGACTCGATTATTTACAGACCGCCGCTGTATACATGGAATATTGCCGAGTTAAATAACAAACCCAACCAATCTCTAACTGCTGTGCCAGGGTTTGGGAAATATAAGTGAGTGAGTGAGTTTAGTTTTACGCCGCACTCAGCAATATTCCAGCTATATGGCAGTCTGTAAATAATCGAGTCTGGACCAGACAATCCAGTAATTAACAGCATGAGCATCGATCTACACAATGGGGAACCGATGACATTTGTCAACCAAGTCAGCGAGCCTGACCACCCGATCCCGTTAGTCGCCTTTTACGACAAGCATAGTCGTCTTTTATGACAAGAATGGGTTGCTGAAGACCTATTCTACCTTTGGGAAATATTAAAGTAGACCAGCTACATCAAGGGGGAGGCCACAGTGATCCAGGTTGGACATGTTTACAACTTTGCATCCCCATGCTAAAATACTCAGGATTGTTAGATAGTAAGCCCATCGTCTGTGCAGTGTACATATAGTTGATCAGGGATTTGCCTTGAGTGGCTATATATTTTAGGGGTCCAAGTGATTCAAAGCCTTTGTGTCTTAGATTACAAAATGACATTTCCAAATTAGAAAATGCTCCCAGAGAAATGTGGCAAAATTAATTTTGCACTCTACAGGAGACCTGAATGTTACAGTAGTAAGCAAGTGAGTGAGTTTAGTTGTACGCCGCACTCGGCAATATTCCAGCTATATGGCAGTCTGTAAATAATCGAGTCTGGACCAGACAATCCAGTGATTAACAGCATGAGCATCGATCTACACAATTGGGATATGATGACAGTTGTCAACCAAGTCAGCGAGCCTGACCACCGATCCTGTTAGTCGCCTCTTACGACAAGCATGGGTTGTTGAAGATCAATTCTAACCCGGATCTTCACAGGTTACAGTAGTAAGCCCAGAATATTACATCTCTCATACTGTCTGAAAAGACCACCTTTGGGTTGGGAAGATACAGCATCTGTCTAAGATAAAACATGATAAAGCTTTTCCTCATTCATGAAAAATGATGCCCTGGAGGATATTTCTAAAATGAAATTACTGAATTTAAAATTTATTCCCAGATCTGTATCATGAGTTTACCTACCACACATTAAACATGAGAAATTGTGTCATAAAAATAAAACACTGCTTGATAAAACTACCTACCAAAAGAAACATTGATAATATTTGTACTTTCCTTGTTTGAAATAATAGAAAACATAAATCTGAAAACTTCGCTGGTGGTCGTGCAAAATAACGAAAGGGAGACAATTTAGTGTTTAGGTTGGAGTTAACTCCCTTGGACCATACAGGAAAGTTGAGGAAGCATGGCTCGCGAATGAAAGACGGGACAGTATCATGCTATCAGAAATGTTTATTTAAACGTTTAACAACTGAATGGTGCGCCAAATGGTATCTTCCTTTGCACGTATTGCATCAATATACAGACTTAGAGTACGTGTGAATGTACGACCAAGATAAGGAATCATCGTTGTACAAGAAGATTCGCCAACAGGCAACATACACCATCACGATCACTGGGCAATGTCCGCTACGTCTAAAGTCGTTCTTGCTTTGTCAGTCACGTTCACTGGCAGTATCATCTACTACGTCCATTACAGCCAGAAGAGAGATAGAGAGGTAACCATTCTTTGACTGAGCTGGTTAGATTCAAGTTATGGTGAAAAATATATTTCAGGCATCGCCCATCTGGTTAAAGAAGAGTTACCTCCCCTAGACCTGTATTTTACACACCAACTATTACCTTT